GGACATTTCGAATTTGCACTGTCGTTTTGTACAGGCCGAACTTCGGAGCTAAACTGAAAACCGGTTCTGCTCGATGCCAGCGCCAACGGACCCAACGGTTTCGACTAAACGTAACAATAGAAATAAAAGCCATCTACCAGGGGTGCGTTCCAAAACCTACAGTAAAACTATAATTACATCTCTATACGTTTTGGATCGCAGCCCTGAAAGGTAAAATCCCCGCTCCGGGTGAGTATACCTGCTGCGTGCTATTAGAGCCTCGACGCTGCTCAAGAGATTTGTTGCGCTCGGAGGCCATAACTTCCGAACGGCTGCGAATTTCGATTTAAAACGTTGGGAACATATTCTTACAATGTTAAATAAACATTTTATGCAAAAAAAAAAAATTCGATTTTTTGAAAGTTCTAATTGGATTTCCCCCCTTAAATGTAACACGCTAACCGCGCCGGTAACAATAGATACGGAAGCGACGGTTCTTAGAGAAAGTTTCTCATCGGGACGATCCGAGGAGGATAAAGGGAACCCTGGCTATTAATTGCTCGACTTCTCGAAAGTTGAAGAGGAAAGTCGTTATTGGATTCGACTCGATGGCATAACTTTGTATTGCGGAAGATTTACCGCCAGTGGACAAAAGTATTAAAGCTATCGGCAGGGACGACGACGCCATAATCGACGGTGGCTGCTGCTGATTCACGAGACAACACGAGAGATCCGACTTCTATATCCGATGTGAAGAGGATATTAAAAGTCCCGATTTCACCGATCCTCCTCCGCGAGGTGGATAATGCCAGTCGGATCTTTAATGGATCCTTATCCCTTCGTGATCCGAGCTAATCTCCGACAAAATAGACCAGTCTGACGTAACTTTTTATCGTTTCATATTATCATCGCGACGCCGCCCACAGCTGCAATCAATGTTCCGTCTGTATGAAGATCGCGTGTGTGAGAGAGCGCAGTTTATTGCGGTTATGAGCGCGCTCGTTGTCCCGAGTTTGGGAAAAAATTTGCCGAGAACCACCACGGCCAAAGCTTTGCACTCCGATGCAGAATTGCAAAAGGTTAAACGAGAATGTTTTTTTCTGTTCCATGAACGCGTCCATTAGCGCTGATGACTGCTGGCTCATCTCTATTTTTGAAGAGGGCTGATTTAACGTTAAAAATTGACGGATCGATGTACTCTCAACGAGAATTTGCGAAATGTCGGTGAAATCAACTAATGACGAATAAATTACGCCGATACGCGCAATAGAGCTACTTTCAGGATGCATTTCCGGACGAAGAGAAAACAATACCGGCGTTGAAATAAGGGACAAACTGTGCGCACAATCCGAAAGAAAAGAGAACGCTGGAGCAAGAGAGAAGAGAGGACAGTTGCGAAGACACACGCGAGAGCTCGCAAAAGTTTTCGCGACAAGTAACTCACTTCAGAAACCCGACTGGCATTTTCATAAGCTCGTTGAAATCAAATCGAGGTCGCGCGAGAAAAAGATAAGAATATTACATTCTGCGCGCGAGATGCAAACGTTGCATAAATAAACGATCCAGAAAAACCATGCTAAAGAAAAACCGCAATTTCCCGGCGAACTTGCGCTCGAGACTTTATTAACGAAAATTTTACGGCAGATCCGATTACGAAACTGACACAAAAATTTACACGAAATTCAACCGATTCAACCGATTGAACAATGAACTTGCGTTTTTCATTGCAGTTTTTTATTTTACTGTATTTATTTTAAGTAAATTATTTAAGTATAACTTTGTTCTTTCTTTCTTTTAAAAGAAAAACCAGAGAAAAAAATATTAAACATTGCAATATTTTGGCGAATAATAATTCCATAATTTCTCAGTATTCTACAGTAAAGAAAAAAATATTCAAGAAACAAAATATTTACTCGGTGAATACTAATAACATATTTTTTTCATTAATAAAAAATATTTTTCAAATAAAAGAATATATATTTTTTTAGAACCTTAAGAAAACCTTAGCTTTTCATGAAAATAATTGTTTATTCTATGTGAATAAAAAATTTCGACAAATATGTTATTAGCTACCAAATAATTACCATTTACTATCTTTTAGATATTTCTTTTTCATTGCACTGAGAGAAATGGCTTGGTGAATGACACTATACTCGTCTTATGAAAGTAATATGATGAATTTATATGCGATATCTGGTTCACATATCCAATATTCTGATTACGATGCCTCGACGCATCTGGTAGTCAATAACGAGACATTTAGTTGTAGACATCTAGACAGTTTGGTAATTGTCTCTAGACATGTGATACTATTGACGCGATAGTTAATTCTTACTCGGTGCGACGTTTCCTTTTTCATCTATACTAATTTATAAAGACGTCGGTGCTATAAAAGAGTAGACGCTGAAATCGTTAGATATTTGGAAAAATGAAATTTCTTAAAATATGTCGACAAATTTAAAAGTAAATATATAAAGATTATATATAGTAAGTATATGAAAATTATATATAATATGGTTAGATTTTAGGTTAGGTAAAAAGTCTAACACTACTCCACAACTGTTTCATAACATTCACGAAATAAATTGCTGTACCAGACAGTTTGGTAAACGTATTTAAGCATTATTATAATATTGTACACTGAAAAAAAAAATTACGACGATTTGGTAATAATTGTCCAGCCTGTGTTATAGGTACTAAAATTTAGTACCTATAATACAGGCTAGATAATTATTATCAAATCGTCGTAATCTTTTTTTTCAGTGTATTTAGACAATGTGCTCATCAGATAGTTTGGTATCATTGACTAAATATCTTGTTACACAATTATTCACCATACCATTTGGTAAACCTAAATAGAATTCTGGTTAGTATCATCAGACACTTCTCTCAGTGTGTATAATCTATAATTTAATCTATAATTTAATCTGTAATTTTTAATATATTATTTTATAATATCTAACTAATTTCTCGTTGGAGAAAAATAAGCATCCCGTTACTTTTTCCGCGCATTCTCGATATTTTTCCACGAGCAAAGCAGAGATTGGTTCCGTCGCGAATACTCCTAAGTAAATGGCCAGTCGATTCACGAATGTTGCGTACGCGAAATCAAGTTGCGCGTGTACACATGTACAACTGTTGAAAAATGAAAGAAAAGTACGGGAAGGGAGTGAACGCGCGAGGAAATAAGAACCGCGCCGCGTCGCAACCAAAGCCTCGCGCAGTAGAACTTATCGTGAGTAACACGGTCCGGAAAGCTGTCAGCCATTTTCATAAGCTCAAGAAACTTCGCCAAGTCGAAAGGCGGTCGCAGCGAAGAAGGCAAAAGGTGGAAAAGCCAGCGGCTCGTGCATGCGAACCTGTCGCACAATGGCGTCTAGGTGGGGCAAAACCGCAATTTCGGAAATTCACCGCGTTGAATCTCACGAGCGCCGGACGCAAAAAGACGCTATTAATTAATAACTAACGGAATATTTTGAGGAGCTGCCCTTCGCGTCGTTTTGCGCGTACATGGAGGAGGAAATTTAATGCTGTAATTAATAACGAAAACAGGAATCTCATTAAAGCGCGGGAGAGTATTCATTTAGAGTCGCATTCGTTTTATTTTCGGGCAGGAGCAAGCTGCTCTCAAGCGAGCTTGAAAGCGGCAAAGGCGGACGGAACAGTTACAAAAGGAGATTACCAGCTTTTTAATTTTCGAGATCAGTGGTGCGTTTCTCAAAAGATAGCACACGGCTTTCTTGTATCGAGATAAAAGGTACTAAATCCTATTAAGTTTTATAAAACGCTTTATAGCGCAGTCCGGCGCGATAAAGGTAAATCGAGCAAGCGTAAAACTTCGGATTAACATTAATTTCGTGCCATGCTCGACGGATTTTCTCCATAATTATTCAACGATTTTAGGTTACCCGCGGTGTTTACGTGCCAATCCATTCATACGAACTCTCATTGATGATTAATCGACGAATCTCGCGCGATTGAACGATGCCAAACGGACGTCTCCGACGATGAAAATAATTTCAAGATGTGAAGTAATATATTAAAATAAAAGTTTCATATTATATAAAGTACTTTGCAGCGCGCCACGACGAAATAAGAGCTTTTAAATTGAGCTAACACACAAGAGCTGGATTAATGTTAAAGTCCTCGGATTTGCATTAAAATTATTCAACGAGCTAAAATTACTCCCTATTTTTCGCGCGGAGTTTCGGCTGTATCAAGCGACAAATATTCCAATTACGCGGATCACCACCGTGCCATTAACGGCCTATTAACACACGGCCGCGTACAGAGGAACAAACAAAGCATTGTCAACGGAGAGTGGGCCAGCAATAAGAGACGCAGCGTGAGAACTTTTATCACCGAGTGAATGGAGAGCAACAGGACGATAAAAGTTTACGAGTCTGACGGATCCGTCATTAATCCTCGGCTTACAGATATACATGGCTAAATACATACATATATATACATATATATGTATATATGTGTGCGTGTATGTCGTTTTACCGCGGCAAAACGGACTTTAGAGAGAGCGGGATGCGCGTTTAAATAAATAACTCGCGCGATTCGACATATTCGATGTAGAAGTACGATAAATCAGTCGGCTTAGTGCCCGGCAGTGCTACGAAGCAGTCTGGAAGTTTCAATGAGACGATCGACAGCACTCCTGAAAGCACTTCCGAAAGCGGATTTAAAAGCCGATTTTTACCGATCTTTTCATTTATACTTCGCGCCCCGTCCGGGGCGGCCGACTTTCCGAGATTTCGTCTCCGCCGATCTCCCCCATCCCCGCCGATGGTCGTAAATAATCTATGAGCGCCATAATTCCGCCCGATTCGGGGGCCTCGCTTAATCTCATAAAGTGTCACTTTAATCTTCTGCCCTGAAAAAAAAGCAAAAAGGTAGGTGGCGAGGGAAGAATTATAAAACTCGCGCCGACGGCCGCCGGGTGCGCGGCGAAAAAAAATGGACGAAACTTTGCCTGATTCACGGAAGGAGCGTAATTCGGCCGAGAGCAAAGTTCACCCGAAGATGATTCCAAGTTCCGCGGTAGGATGAGCCGCGAATAACTCGTGTACTTAGGTGTTTCCCTGGGATCGAGCACTCTCAGATCGCGAAGTTCATCGTGAACGACGCTACACCGTGGTTTTTGCGTGTTTACGATGTCAGATTGCCGTAAGATACGATGAAGTTACGTGCGCGAAGCCCTACGATTACCCGTGAAATTTCTTAGGATCATCTAATTGGGATTCTAATTGAGATAAGTCCGATTTTCCGAAATAATTTCTAATAGGAGTGCAAACACGCTATTCCACGTGGGGAAACCCAAATGTTTTCTTTTCCTGGTCTTCATTTTACGCCAGAATTGAAAATTCCATAATCCAATAAAAGAACTCTTACTTAAGTAAAAATATATATTCTATTCTACTTCTATTTTATTTCTATTCTACTAAAAAATGTTGACTCCATTTTGGACGTAAATTAAAGCTTTTAACGCGCAAATCACAAATATATAAGTGCCAAGGTGGACGGAGCTCCCAGAGAGAATGGCCCATCTAAAATTCTATCCTCACTAAATGGCGCCACTAGTTTAAACAAGATAAAACTAATGCGGAAATAAACATTTTTAGCAGACTCAGCGACAGTTTTAAGCAGATTCGGCTATTACTCAACACCGAGATCACTGGCGTCATCTAGTGACGATGGAATTTTAAATGGGCCATTTTCTCTGGAACGGTAGCTCCGTCCATCTAGCCACTTACATACTCGTAATCAACGCGTCAAAAGCTTCAACTTAAGTTCAAGAGAGATTCATAATTTTTGTCCGCAAAAAATTTGGTAGCATACTTATGAGCACTTGGTCACACTCCTCTGGCATTTTAATCGGAATCTATGTCACATCTGGAAGCAATCTTGGCAAATTTCTATGCGGGCACGTTTGCTCAATGAACGGGTAGAGATCAGTACTGGAAATATACAGCGTGTATGTGTGTGTCTGTGCAGGTCTCATCGAGGCGCATAGAGAAGGCAAAATCGCGAGTCTAATCGGAGTGGAGGGCGGTCACTCCCTGGGAAATTCTCTGGGTGTCCTCAGGACGTTTTATGGCCTGGGAGCGCGATATCTCACCCTGACGCACGCGTGCGACACCTCCTGGTGAGTATGAGTTGCGAGTGTACGAGATTCTCGTTCGCGAATAATTAAATCGCTTATAATCTATCAAAAAGAAAAGACGTCATTCGCTACGGCACAAGGCGCCATAACTTATCTCGGAGAGTACGCACGATATATTAAACGACACCCCTGCGTCGCGCGCTTTATAAATCGCGCCTGCGAGGGAGTATGGACATGGCTGAGCTGTTTCTCATTCGCGAGATCGAGATTCGCTCGAGGACTCGTATCGTTTCTTTGGTATCGTTCTTGTCGCGCCTTCTCCTCTTACCTTGCGCCCAAGAAGCTCCACCGTGTACAAGCCGCCCGCTCATCGAGCATCTGGTTTTTTACCTGGGACTCGTTGTGCTTCCTATCACGATCCGCTCTTAGAGGCAAACCAATTCCACGGTTGATCGGCTTAACCCGAAAAAGAGAGAGAAAGAGAGAAAGGGTGGGACAGAGAAAGAGAGAAAGAGAGAGAGAGAGAGAGAGAGAGAGAGAGAAGATAAGCTGAAATCTGGACGGTCGGAAGTTCTTTTCAGTAATTTCGGAAGCACCCTAAAGCCGCCGCTTATTCCTAGCGCACTCGGAAAAGAGAAACTTACAGCGAGAGGGGCTTTGTTCCGCCGAGGAAGGGAGGAGGAATAGCATCTCTTATCAAAGACCCATTGCATTGTCTAGAAGTCAACTTTCTCAATTTCGTTTCCTTAATCCGCTACTCTAGAGACATTTTCTTCGAATCGTTGCAACTTTGCTTTCGAGTCCTGTCAGATTTAGTCTGTGCAACCCGATTGGATCTACTGTATCGTCTATTTATTTGTAAAGATACATTTAGCAGCTTTATTTTAACCCCTTTAGTGAATCCAATGTATATAATTATGTACATTCATTTTGGGGTTCTCCCAAAATCTCTTCTACTGACGAAATAATGATTTCGTCGATACGATACTATCGATTCACTCTGGATAGAGCTATATCCTTCGTAAAACAGTGATTTTCCCACTGAAAACACCAATATGGAAATAATGTGCAGAATATATTCGTCGACGCTCAAAATCGCGTAAAATTTTTTACGAAAAAAAAATAAACCAATTTTACTCTCTCGATTTTTTCTCAATGTCATCTTAAAGTACAAAGTTGATACTATTATGTTATATAAAATTTACTGAATTCTGTAGTTGGAGCATATGTACAAGCAAGAATGTACATAATTATGTAAAGTTGGTTGCAAATCGATTTGTACACTTTTTTTATGGAATAAAATTGCAACGTTTCAAGTTGTCAGAATTGAAAATCGCTGTTGATTCGTATACACAATAATCGGTTATGACAATAGTGACAGTACAGAGCGTGACATTCGTGAAATTTAATAGAAAATATTAATTTTAAATTAAGAGAACGTTCTTTCGAGAAGGAATTTTTACAGATTTATAACCGATTGCTGTGTGCACGCATACATGTGTCAACAGTCACTGTCAATTTTGACAACTGGAAGCGTTGCAACGTCATTCGATGAAAAGTGTGTGTACACGATGTACAACTGATTGTACATTCCGAAAATCATGGATCTCGATGGTCAATTTTATTCAGGTCAGAGAACTCTTTCAGGAGCGTCTCTTGAGACTATTTGATGAAGAAAAGAATTTTACTTGAACTGGATCGATGCCTGGACCTCAAAGAATCAAATACTGTGATTCTTAATTTCAATGCGAAATATTCCAAGCGCGTCGTTCTATTCTCATTGAACGATCAAAAAGCGAAACTGTGCGAGTCGTACAATTGTTATTACGCGCACTCGCTCGCTCTTCAGGCTTGGAATACGAGTTAGCCGAGAGGAACAATGCCGGGACAGGGGCGCGTTTCCTTCTCCGGGACATCGATCCTTAACCCGAGGTTTATGCATCCCCTGATGCCGGGTGCCGAGAGGAGTTGTAAATAAAGTCACCTCTTCTATACGTCCCTTCGATCCGGAGTCGCGCGTTGCGTTCTCCGCGGAAAATCCGAGACACGTTATTCGCGAGCTGCGGAGTCACGCGAGCTATAAAACAAAAGTACTGCCGAGTGCGCGGCACGTTGATATTTCGACTCCCGTGTGAATTCGCTTAATTATCGCGAGACCGCAGCCGCTTACCGGATCCTTCTCTCGCTGAGAAGGAAAATTCCATTCGACGGAAACCGCCTCGTTCCTGGTTCCTTTAATTTCACCAACTTCACGGAGCTTATTATTATTGCAATTCTCCTCGGTCTCTTTTTCGCCCAGTAATAGCGACACTGAAAATAGCCGAAGGTATAAAAGCGTTCGCGCAAGTTCTTCACAAGGCTCGGAAGCGATCATTAGATTGCGCGGGAGTTATCGGGAGACGCCGCCAACGATGGGTCGGAAAGTGTACTTTCCAGCGCATCGCGATTTCTTCCTTGCATTTTCCACCACCCTCCCCCTCCCCCTTCTTGCCTCACTCTCTGCCCTCGTTGTACTTCTTTTACGAGGCTGAACTTCGGGCCACATCAACAGCGCGCGCATCGATCGTCGCGAATATCCTTTATGCGCGCGAGCTGTTATCATTTACGAGCGCGAGAGGAATGATGCTGAAACCGCAATAATAATCTCACCGGCGGCGTCCTGTCGTACGAAACAGGATTTACACGTCGAGGAACGTCGCTAGACGCACAAGCCAGCCTTCGCGATGTAAATTACGATGGTGGTCGGCGATATCACTAACTCTAACGCCGTTTTAAGGTCAAAGTATTATACGACAATGGGCATCGACCTGGTTCTCGCCCTGCTTTTCCGATCCTCGCCTCTGCTTTATGTCTCCCCCGACGCCGCGGCGCTTACCGCCGTAAATAAGGATCGGAGTCACGTTGGGCCCACGTGCAAATCTCTCCTCAGATAGTACATATTTTTCTCCTCTGACCCCCCCTAATTTACGCCGACGTCTTACGACGCGCACGCGGAAGGTAATCTATCTATCTATCTCTCCCTCAGCAATGATTCAAGTTCTCAGACGCTAAAGTGAGGTTGAGAAGATCTCAGACGTGCATCCGAATGTGCCATTTTGAACAACACTCTGACTTCGGTAACATTGATAAAATAATGGCATTGTCGCTCTTGCGTTTTATCTCTCAAACCCTAAGTCTAGACTAGTAATCTATCCGATTATTTAGTTTGTATAAGTTTGTGATGTTATTAATTAAAGAAAATTAGCGAACAACTACGCGTAATCTCATTCGCTAATTTTCTTTAATTAATAACTTAAAATTTACATGGTTGTTTGCAAGACGATGGAGGACTCTTTTGAGTTTTCGGTTTGCGTACAAGCACGCAATGAGGTATCGCATTTACCATCCTGCACTATCGTATGCAATATCATTTATCGATTTTCTTTAATTAGCAACTAAAGATTTGACGTGGTTGTCTGCAAAATCATAGAGGACTTTTGTGTTTAGCTTGATGACTTTTACCTGCACACAAGCGGATATGCGAGTTGTGTTAAAACACCCTCTAGAGTAAACCACACAATTATTGGAATCCTCTTTAAAGTCAACGACACTAGAAAAACCTGGTTTCTCATGCGATCAGCGGCACCTGTTCACAGTTTGCGAAGATCTCTTTTGGAATCATAGAGTACCTGTAAGAAGCTTAATTGCAATAGTTGATCGAAGAACCAGGCTTTACTAGAGTGCTAATGGCCAAGGGGGATGCCAATTGTGTGGCTTATTCTGTTCCACGTTTTATCGATACTCTTCGCGCACTATTTTGTCTCTCGTCGCGATAAACGTCAAGTAAGACAAACGAGAATGCGATTCCTTTAACGACAATCCACGTGCGTGTGATAGCAACCATTTGAACAGCGAGGGAAACAAACGAGCGATTCAGGATATCCAGAGAGGGGAAACATCGCGTCTATGAGAGTGCAGTCGGCCTATGACATCCCTGAGAGCATCCAAATAAAACATCGTAAAAATGTGGCTTCATTTCTGCGACCTGAGATTTCCGGTTTCCATGAGAAAAGCGCGCTTTTATTGGAACAATATCCGAATTGCTTTCGGACGTGTTCCCGGGGCTTAATGTCAGCCTCTGACCCTATTTTCGCGTCTCTCCTCGTCTCGTTCCGTCTCGGTTCTGTGCCCTCCCGCCCTTCCTGCCTCTTCCTACGCCCTCTTATCCCTGGGGATGCGAGATTGTCGGTTCGATTGAATTTTCCACAGTTCTAGATGACGATGCCGAATCATCTCTAGCGTTTCCACTTTCTCGTCTGAGAGGTGAGAATCGACCGTGGAGAATTATCGGATTCCTGATACCTTTCGTACCTTCCTACGATCATCTCGCTCGCTTGTTTTTTAACCTTCACACCTCTCGTAGCATCGATGTCTCGTATGTGTTCCATCATTCAACAGCGTGTAAAGGTATAAAAATAACGTGAAAGTATATCTGTCCGTCGCGCGGGAAAATGTCTCAATAACAACTTCTTCGGCGAACGTAAACGCGTAAGTGCACCACTTGGCGGAGAATCGGAAAGTCACGAAAATGTCGGTGTAAAATTAAGCGCGTCAATGAAGGAGGTTGCAAGGCGAAAATGAGTTTGTTAAAAATTCGTTGAAACTTGTGTTCCATATAGATTGAAATATTATCTAACCGCTGGTACAATTAAATCAGGATTGACCATTCGAGAGACGAGCTGTTTAAAACTAAAGCTGATTCTGTTTATACGTGCTTTTTGAGGTTGGGCGCGTTTTTAATTTGTATTTTAGTTTGTACTTCTAATTTTTCGTAAACTAAAAGTAGAGTTTTGACAAAAAAAAAAAACTGATATTAAATACTAACATATCGATATTGTATACAAATATCAGAATTATTGGACATTTTGTTTGGAAAATACAGTGATGAAAAGTTTATAATAATACTCGAAATATAATAATATATATACGTTTATAATAATACATATTCATATATGCATTTTTAAATGCTTATACGCTTCTTTCACAACATTTTTTTTACTCAGTTTAGCGAGTACTATCTATCCTATAAGGCTTTAATCCTTTTTCCAACAATTCGTATATCCATTTCGACTTTGTCACCAATTAACATCTATTGCTCAGATAACAAATGTATAGAAACGTAATTTTAATTGGACAAAAAGCAAGTTTATCAGTGGTCCACGGATTGATGCGCCACGGAAAGAGAAAATACGACACTGAGCTTTTTTACAACCTCTTGAAAAATACAAGCAAATAAACAACGAGATGTTACTTCTCGGTTGTTTATAAGCGGCGTTTGCTTTGGCAAAAATTTACCGCGAGATATTTTCCCGAGGATATTTCAAAATGAATCGAATTTCAACGCAACACGATTGCTTTCTTCGAAGAGTCCTCTCTCTCTCTCTCCGTCGCGCGACTCGTCTTTTGCCAAGTAAATGGCAATTATTTTTATTTCATCTGAACCACAAGAATTGCTCGTGGCGAACACGCTTGTATGGAGTGAATATGCATAAGCTTATAGGTTAACCTGATACTTTAGAAAATATTCGCTCGCGGGTTCAGCCCGGAGTTCGCTCCCGAAGGGAGTGCGAGCGGCACGCCGCAGAATTTTCGCGCGAGAGACGCGAGCCGACGATCTAACAGACATTTTCTTGGCAGGGCAGTCTGTTCTGTTGGCGAGACGAACAACACTCAGGACTCCACGCCGGGCCTCAGCGAATTTGGAAAAGTGAGTCAACATTTACATTGTACGCTCGTTGCGGATTCACCTTTTTCGCGCGGGGCGAAGCCGGGGAAATATCTCGCGCTCGCGCAAAAAAATGCCCGCGTGTACATACGCGCGGGAGAGCTTCCGTTTTAACGGCGCGGACAGTCGCGGACGGAGTTACGCGACGTTCTGGAAAAATAATACCGCAGACTTCCGGCCAAGACGCGCCCCGGCATTATTCCACGAAACGACCGCGACAGTTTCGTGCTATTTCGCCGTGAGAGCTCGCGTACGTTCTAATGCGACTATCGCATTAAATTACCGCTTTTATTTGTTTTGTCTTGTTTTTTTTTCTTTCTCTTTCTTCCCCTTGCTTTTGGTACGACAACGAGACTCTCTCAAGAGAGATGATAATATTGTCGGGACGAGATATCCGTGGAAAAGAGCGCTGACCGAAATGTTATAACACAGACACAGCAATAGCTCAATGCTCTGTGCGCGGTAATGCACTATTAAATTAAACGAGTAATTCTCGCGAGCTAATTTAAAGCGATTTCTATGGTTTATCCACAGCGCAGGGCTTATTCCGCGCAGGCTCTTCTCCTCAGAGCTTAGTCGAAAAACCGGAGCGTGTAAGTTATCGATTGCGCGATAATTAATTAGGCCGTTACGTAAATCGACACGCTCTAGTTAAATAACAATCCTAATTTCCATCTAATACCTCGAGCTCGCTCGCTCGCTCGCAACTAGCGACCACCATTTCCCAGCGCGGATTATACAATTCTCGCAAAATAGGCAAACAAGCGAGATTGCGCGCGACGCACATTTATGTATCAGGTGTCTTTTCCAATTTTTGCGCGACGGGATTTAGATCGCGGCCGCCAGCGTCTCGGTGGCTCGCGAATTATTTTTCCACGGCGTAACCGACGAAATGATCGTCAACGAGCGCGCGACCGATCGCGGCCGACCTACATTCCGTTTATCACTCCCCGTCCCTCGCTCGCTGCCGCGTTCATAAAATTATATCTCGACCCACTTCCGCGCGGAATTCGTCGAGGGATTCCGAGCGTTAACGCAGGTTCGACGATTCCGCCGCCGTGGCGAATTTCTGCCGTTCTGGCGCCGCGCGAATCCCGAAATCCGCGAATCCCGAGTTTTTTGTCGAAATTCGTGGTCTCGCGGCAGCGAGTTCCTGATAAAAAAAAAAAAGAGAAAGAGAGAGAGACAGGAAGAAAGAAAGAGGGACAAAAGGTAAAGCTCAACGGGAGAAGCAGGGAGGAGGAAAAGGTGAAACATGGGACGGGGGAGAAGCGCGTGAGAACGTAAATCAAACGAGCCAGCCCCGTTATCTCGCGTCCCTCGCAGCAGCTAAATCTCACATTAATAAATGACAGATCTTCCGGAGAAGAATTCTACGCACACGACACTAAATGCCCCGCGGTTTGTCAGCGACGGCTCGTCCCCGCGTCGTGTCGTGTCAGATTGATACACATATTCCGACGGCGCGGCATTTTTCGTCCATTAGAACAACCCTGGTGAACTTACATTCGCTCAATAATTCGTTCCCATGCAAGAGAGGAAGTTGATCATCGAGAATCGTGGACGACCGACCACGGTCTGTACAAATATCGAAATTCAAAGAATATAGTCGATCGCGAACGGGAGCGATGTGCTGCGTCGGGGCGAGCGAATTGCAATACTTCGTGTGCCGTTTCAAAGGAGCACCGTGACGCCACATGGCTCGTTCCGAAAGATAAACGGAATTATCTGAAAATTCCCCGGATTCGTATCTCTCCCTCGTAGAGCCTTTCAGCGCGTAACGTAACGTCCCGTCGTTGTAAATACCGATGTACATTTCCCGCAATGGACGGGATACACTCCGACGAAGCGAGTCTGCCCGCTGCATTATATGTGTGTGTATGTGTGTGTACGCGCGTCTCTATTCCTTGTGTGTGCGCGCTAGGATATGCATGCACGTATATGTGTATGTATATGTGTGTGCGACGCGCAATTCGACGAACGTTTTTGCCCTTTACTCCCGTTCCTTTGGGCTGTTATTTCTATTGAGCGACCCATATTTCCCGGCGCTGTTTACCAGGTGCACGAGTGCGCGCGTATGACATGAGTGCGCACCCGTTACGCACGCATGCACGCACGTACGCACGCACGCACGCATGCACGCACGCATGCACGCACGTACGCACGCACGCACGCACGCACGCACATACGAATTTGAGTCATCGCGTTAACGCGACGCGGTGCTACATCGTGGAATTATGGCGACGGCTCGTGGCGTTGTATTTGTCACGGTCGCAGCGTGGGCTTGATTTTATTGCGGCTTTTGGATGTGACGATTAGTTTCGCCTAGTCTCCCGTCGCATTCGATACCCAGCAACAGGCATCGGATTACAGGCGAAAATTCGGCGTGTCGCTCGGCGCGGAATACGAACGGCCGTGAAAGCGGTTTCTCCTCCTCGATTTTCCCAAGAATTACTGCGCGATATCGAATTCACGATATATTGTCGTTCATAGTGGTGACAACACCATCGCTTCGTGATATTACATGACCACGTCAACAAACAACAGTTTCTGTCAGTATAACATCCATTATATTAATTAATTCCGCCGTACTTGAAAACCTTACGGAATATTGAGTTTTCTCTGCAGAGTTTACGTTGTGCATTAATTGCACAAAATTACAGATGCTCTTACGCAATGAAAGTAGAAGAAACCGGGCTACCCTAGTAAAAACTAATTAAAATCTCCTCATTGTTTAGCCATGAGATAGTAAATTCGTGTCTAATATCACTATTAGGTAGTAATTTAACGCTCACTACTTCTAATGGCTAGATAAATAAGTTAGCTGATGATTAAACAGACGAAATTACAATTATGAGATGAAAAAACCAAAAGTAGTAATTAGACAGTAATATAACATACAATTCTGCTTTTGTTGAGATTTTTATGAAATTAACGTAACCTCAATCTCCTGTTTTGCTACCTAATTTTAACAATCTAGTGGTGATATAGTAAGTAAATTATGCATTTTAAGGTAGAGAGGGAGCGCCATATTCTCTATCATATTTGATATACATGTCTACTTGACTAGACGACGGCTAGACCATAAATCCGATTCTATATTTTAATGAATAATTAGCTAGTAATGAAGTAGTAACGAGCTAGAATATTTAATCTAGCTTGTACTAACTAGCTATTAGCTTTTGATTTAGGCCACGTAGTTACATTTCTATTTGTGTGGAGATGCCTCATACTTCAGAATTCCGAAGTTATAACTTCTCAGGTAACTAATTATATACAAATATGATAGAGACAGCTTTTTTCTGTGTTATAAGACTCAGAAAAAAGTACCCTAAATGATCTAAAAGAACTATTTTGCGATTTTTATATGCTATTCCTTTCAAGATAAATGCTAGAGGAAAATATATGAGCAACATATCTTTGGAGCTACTTAGATTCATTCTTCCCTACATACAAAAACCAATTGAAGTATTGTTCGATATATGTAACGAAAACGGTAAAAAGTTTCGAAATTGTTATCTCGAGCTGTCAGCAAACGTAAATATATACCTGATACAAAAGTTCTGCAGTTTGTACATATCGAACGTGCACTTAAGGAAATTTTTGAAGAATATTGCTGTACCTGTACACAATTACATTTAGAAGTTTAAAGATATACGAAAAATTTGCAGGAAGATTTCTATATATGCATAGTTAAGTCTTCTGCTAAATAAAAGAAGAAACAAAGCAGCACAAATTTATGCAAGCTCTATATGATAAAAGATAGCCTGATCATGTTAGTAATGATCGTCTCTACATTTTTGGAATTTGTCGTCCACTTTGGCATCCTCTTAATTGATCACAATATCCGTGGTAAAATTAAAAGATCGAAGAGTTTGCGCTATTCGTAGTGCTACTTGCGCCGAGTTCGCGAGAGAGAATTTCCCGGCTATTTATTTGTGGATTTCAAGTGACGACGACTCTACTCGCGTGTTCTCGGCGTGTTCCACGTGCAGCCAACGCGACGGCTTCGGTTTTGCGCGTTTCGGTTGTTAATACCGCCGATAAGAAATCGAGACATCGCGTCCTGCGTCGCGCAATTATGCACCTCGCCAAAACAACGCGCGTCGGAGAGAGCTTCCTCCCCGTAAAAACAATACGCGACGCTTCTGCCATCGACGTACGAGACTCGCGTCGTTCGGATGAAATCGCACGCGCGTACGTTTACGACGAGAAAAGCGAACTGCATCCTCGCGTTAAAGGGATGAACTGGAAAAACGAGACCATTGTGATTCGTTCTTCCACCCATCTCCCTCCGTTTCCTTTTTCGCTCGCGTCCTCGGAGATCCCTTTTTATTAAAATACGCTGGCGACTATTGTCGAAAATCACACAATCGATCGAGAGCAGGTGGTAATCGCGGAAAAGTTGACAATTAAATGTTAAATAGCAATATTTATATGCCAGCGCGCGAGAAAGTGTATCGTCCTTGCACGGAAAGAAAAGCTTGGTTGATTTAATAAGTCTATACGGAAAAATTATTATAGTTTTTCTTCGTATAAATTATTTTCAATTTTATGGTTACTATAATTTTGGTAGTTCAGGAACAAATTCAACAACGTATCAATTTCGTTGGAAACATAGCAGATTTCGCAAACATAACAAATGTTTTAATAGTATCATCAATATTTAACGTAAAGGACAATAAGAGTTCAAGCACAGGTTGAATAGTGCTATTAAAACTATTAAAAAATAGTGACCCAATCTCACAATGAGAAGAAATTTTTTCATTATTTTTTAATAGTTTTAATAGCACTATTCAACCTGTGCTTGAACTCTTACTGTCCTTTACGTATTGATTATTGTCCTTAAATATTGATGATACTCAAGAAGTGTTTTTTTATTTCTTTTAGTTTTAATAGTACATTTCAGTTTCTAAAATATAAGTAGCACATATTAAATAAATTATATTTATAATAAAATAAATTAATTGATGAAGAGTGAATTAATTCTATCCATTCCTCGGTTACAAAATTCTATAGTGATTTTTACTATAGAATTCTCTCCGTGTTAAACATTAAAGAGATTTGCTAGTACAGCGAATAAATTATAAATCCATTTTTATTGATGTTATTTTAGTTACTACAACGAATTGTATATGTATTCAAATAATGAGGAAATATTTTCGTTCGTTTTACATAGAGTGCACTCTCATTAAATGCAAATGTAATGAGAAATGTGTTATTATACGTTACGCAATTTAAGTTTTGATATTAACAACTGCATATATTTATAATATAATATGTGAATCTAAATTACATATATTTTTACGCATATGTATTTATATTTATAATATTTTTTCTGTGCAAGGTTATGCAATAAAATAATATCTATTTCTTCAAGTAAAATAAAATAAAATGATAGTATTTTTATGTCATTATATAAGTTTGTGAAATAATCAATGCGCTATTTTGGTCTTCTACAATCCGTCGCATACACTGTTTCACAAAATTGTGACGACATAAAAATACAATCGCTTTACATTTTACCTGAAAAACCCGAGATTACTTATTATACAAGCCAATATTTTATTGTACTATTTGAATTGTTATAAACTAAATATTCTAAGAGTTTCGATGAACATTATTGCTTTAGCTAATTTCAATTGCTGGAGCAATTAATTATTTAGCTACAACCAAAATCTGCTAATATATTAAATTTCCTTCAATACGACAGCAAAATAATTACTTGCATACATTAAACTATATTTTTCATTAGTAGTAACAGAAAATCATATTTGCTACACTAACAAATCTACCCTGCTATAATATCAAACTTCATTAGGTTCAACTACAAATCTTATGCAGACAGATTTGCTAAAATTTGCTAAGCTAGCGAGATTTTCAGCAAATCTTTTTTTTTTCATGTACGAATATACAATATTTGTTTGTTATAAATAACTTTCCTCGTGTCATCATTCATTTATTTTTCGTTGGTTGGCGAAGTATTTATTTCTAATCAAACTAATCAAACAAAGAGAACGAAAATACACCGCGTAACGAAGGGGGGGG